TCAATCTTGTTAAGGTTTAGGCAACATCGGTACGCAATAACGGCTGATGTGGAGAAAATGTATCGTCAGGTGCTTGTACATCCGGATCAGCGACATCTTCAAATGATTTTATGGCGAGATAGCGACACTAGTCCTATAGAATCGTATGAGCTAAATACGGTAACGTATGGTACAGCCTCAGCCCCCTTCCTAAGCACTAGATGTCTTGTAGAAGTTGCTAAAGCATGTTCAGATGAAAACATTTCTCAAATTATATTGGAAGACTTCTATGTGGACGATTTTTTATCAGGTGCTTCTACGGAAAGCGAATTACGTCATATCATAAATAGCGTAACAGCATCACTTCATTCATCCTGCTTCCCACTGCATAAATTTCGAACAAACATACCTTCTGTCTTTAATGACAATACTAATTCTAATGATGCAAAGAATCTGGACTTATCTTCCCAGGCTAGTACATTGGGTCTTAAATGGGATCCTTGCCCGGATATATTGATAGTTCACACTAATTTTGAGTGTTCGGAAGTAGCCACCAAGAGGTCTATATTATCAGCTTCTTCAAAACTTTTTGATCCTCTTGGCTTATTAAGTTTATGCACTATTACACCCAAAATCTTATTACAAAAACTATGGCAATCCAAACTAGATTGGGATGATCCAGTTCCTAATGAAGTAAAAAACGCGTGGTATGAATTTATTAGTGCATTTTCTAATCTCTCATCTATTCAAATACCTAGGTTCGTGCTATGTGATAGTCCAGTTCATGTGGGACTGCATGTATTTTGCGATGCGTCACAAAATGCATACGCTGCCTGTTGCTACATCCGTACAATAAATAAAACGGGCAAAGTAACAACTCATCTGCTTTGTGCTAAAACAAGAGTGGCGCCTCTAAAGCCTCAAACGATACCACGGCTTGAGTTGTGTGGAGCTTTACTGGGTGCTCGATTAGCATCAAAGGTGCTTCAAGCACTCCGTATTAATATAGATAGGATTGTATACTGGACTGATTCTACGGTGGTTCTAGCATGGTTGGGTTCGAATGCTAGAGATTTAAAAACCTTCGTCTCCAATCGTATCGCAGAGATACAACAACTAACTTCATCTGCATCTTGGAGACATGTGCCTGGTTCTAAAAATCCAGCTGATCTAGCTTCAAGAGGGCTGAGTCCTAGAAACGTGCAACATACGCCGTTATGGTGGAAAGGACCTTCATTTTTGTGTGAGACGGAGGCAAACCATGACTTTCGATCAACGAGCATACCTGAAAGGAAATCTTCTTTGCATATCAGTATTGAACCTGCTACTTCAAGTCATTATAACACATTGTCATGTCCCGCAACGACAGGTACTAACTCTAATGCATTTGATTATTTAGTAGATTTTAAAAAATATTCTAACTTAAATACTTTGCAAAGAGGTTTGGCTTACGTCATGAGATTTATTAACAATATAAAACAGCCTAATTCCAAAACAGTTGGTTATTTAACTACATCAGAATTAAATTCATCTTTAAATTACTTAATAAAGGTACATCAGAAACAATGTTTTCCAGCCGAGTTGAAATTATTAATGAATAAAAGAAACTTACCGCGTCAGTCACGTATGCTATCATTAACGCCTTTTATAGATGATAACGGCATCCTACGGGTTGGTGGACGGTTGGGAAACTCATCAGAAATGTATTCCAAAAAACACCCTATAATATTAGATTCAAATCATACATTCACAAAGCTTCTATTTAAGCGTGAGCACAAGAGACTTCTGCATTGCGGACCCCAACTGTTATTGACTCATATACGGCAGAACTACTGGCCAATTGCAGGTAGAAAACTTGCACGGAGCACAATTCACGACTGTCATATTTGTTTTATTATGAAAACCCAGTCGGTGACGCCAATAATGGGAAATCTACCTGCTGCTAGAGTATCGCAAAATTTTCCGTTCCAAATTTCGGGGGTTGACTTTGCTGGGCCATTCTTTATTAAAGACCGTAAAGGACGCGGCTGTAGATTAATTAAGGCCTATTTGTGCTTATTTGTTTGTTTCTCCACCAGAGCCGTTCATCTCGAGGTGGCTTCGGACCTTAGCTCAGTCAACTTTCTTTTATGTTTAAGACGCTTTATATCTCGGAGAGGTAAACCAAGTGACATCTATTGCGATAATGGGCGAAATTTCGTAGGCGCTAACAATGAATTAATTGCAATTCTGAGGTCAGGCAAAGATGCAATATCCTCATCCACTGCTGCTGAGGGTATCAATTTCCATTTTTCACCTGCTTACTCTCCCCATTTTGGTGGGCTTTGGGAAGCTGGTATTAAAGCGGCTAAATTTCACATTATTAGAACTGTAGGAGAAGTTAAATTAAATTTCGAAGAGTTATCTACTCTTTTCATTCAAATAGAGGCTATTCTCAATTCCCGTCCACTTACACCTCTTTCCTCCGACCCTACCGACCTATATCTTTTGACACCCGGGCACTTCTTGATCGGTAGACCATTGACATCGATTCCGTCGCCAGAGCTGCCAAATGTTAATGTGATACCGGCTACACTGGACGCATACAACAAGATTGAGTTCATGCGACGACACTTTTGGGAGAGATGGAGAACGGAGTTCCTGTGCGAGCTTCAAGAAAAATCAAAGTGGCGTGTCAATCAAGGACAATTACGTGAAGGAGAAATGGTGGTGGTAAAGGAACCTAACGTGCCGCCACTGAAATGGAAAATAGGCCGAATTCAAACTCTCTACCACGGCCCCGATAACATCGCACGTGTTGCAGACGTATTAACAGCAAAGGGAGTCATTCGACGTGCCATCCGAAACTTATGCCTTTTGCCTCCTCGAAATCCCAAGGTCTTCGAGGGGGGGGAGAATGTTCCTGAACGCAACACTGCGCAAGCGACAGTGGGGGTAGAAGACGATAATGACAATTATTAATAATCATCTTACTATAACGGACGCAACATACTTTGTATTTCATATATTTTTTTCTCTATTATAAAACTGTACATCTTGCATCTCCAATTATTTTTTATTTCACAATTTCATCTGCAACATTATACAAGTACAACAACAAATAAAAGGGATATTAAAAGACGGCGCAAACAGGTAGTTATAACGGTATTGGCATAATAATCGTAAGCTAATATAAATATTTAATCATTAAGGAACTCTTCAAACTACTTACCTACTCTTTATGAGAGAGATGTAGAGGAAAAACGTAATTCCATTAATTTCTAAGGAAAGTAAAAATTCCATTTGATCTGATATAATGTTATAATCCCTACTAAAATTATAAATGCAAAAGTAACTCTGTCTGTTTGTTATGCTTTCACGTCTAAACCACCGAACTTATTTTCATCAAATTTGGTACAGAGTTAACTTTGAGAAAGTAGGCTACTTTTAATCACGAAAAACCCTTTTTTCACGTCTCCAGGAACCCCTGTTCCTGGAGACCACGCAGACTAAGCCGCTGGTGGAAAGCTAGTACAATTATAAATTGTAAACAATAATAATTTAAATATTTAATTTGTAATGACAGTTTGTATATCTAAATAAGCAGTAAGTATGTTACACTTACCGTCAATCCCAGCTCTCTGGATATTTCGCTAATATTCATTCCATCTTCACGTAATGCGACGGTACGACTCCTCTCTTGTATAGAGAGGTCCTCGAAGACATGATCCAAATTCAAGCCAAGGTCACGTTAAGCAAATCCAAAGTCCAGTTTCTAGCACGGTGGTCAGGTATTAACAGGTATCAGTCCAATGAGAATGAGGTTAAAAGAAAATCCAGAGTGAGCACGTCAACTATTAGCAATATGCAAGAGGCGAATAAACCAAAAAAATAACAACACTGTTATTGCATTCATTGTATTTGTTGCATACGTAGAGCCATACTGATTGGTCATAGTAAAATACTACGACCAATGAAGATGCGCCCGTAACTCCGCCCCCTAAAATTACATCAAGTGTGTGCCAAGCGAACGAGATTTTGAAGTGGATAGGCACGTGAGACCGCCACTGTACATTTATTTTTATGATAAAATAAACAGTTTTCACAAACAGGTAAATTCTTTATAGTATTAACCTTCACCTCGGGTGTCATGTTTAAAAACCTTTTGCAAGTAAGTAAAATGTGATCGTTTGTTTTACAAATTGGACACACGTTCACATTGGTTTTTATAAGTTTTTGCGAATCTAGGTTTTGTTTCAATGAAGCTGTCTTTGTTTTTAGGTTCATTTTCCCTTGTAGGTGCGTTTTGTTTAGGTTGTTTAATTTTCTTATGCAATGGTTCTAAGGACGTTATGAATCCACACCGAGGTTATGAATAGCATGAACAGTTTCTAAACTCACATCATGCAATCGTTTGATTTCATAAGCTGTATGTTTTTGCATCACAGGTTGATTCAAGAAAATCTGTATTTGTTTTGTAAATAATAATTGAACATTGTTATATCTGCGATTTGGAAGTTTCCCAACAAATTTCGTAATTTTCGGCAGAGATGTTTAAGTGTTGAACGAGGCGTTCTGCTTCACCTTTGAGCTTACCTTTGAGATGTTGCATCTTCTGACATTTGTTCAAGTTAGGATTGTTATGGATAACTTCACAGTATAAGTCCGAGAAAGTGGGCCAGTTTATATAGTTTCCGGTAAACACTGGTAATTCAAGATGTGGCGTAGCTTCGGTCTGATGTTTGACTGAATTTAATTTACGATACAATTTCATTTTAGTTGTCTCGTAAATATTTTTCACATGAGAAAATATTTCTTCGTAACTTTCATCGGATCCTTCTAATAAGTTGTCAATAGTCCAATGAAGCTCGTCAATTGTTTTCCAGCGAAATTGTTGCATTTGAAGTTTATTTTCAATTTCCCATTTTCCGTTAATGTGTCAATATCAATGTTTTTCACAGCCCTGTTGAAAGCGCGAAAGTTAGTTTTTGTTGACTTAGCAATTCGGCGCTTTTGGAGGTAGAAGCGGTACTTTCTTTGTTTTAGGTACTGACCTTGGTGTCAGCATTGGAACCTTCAGCACCACCACTGCTCTCATCGACTGTAACTTGATAAGGCTTGGTGTTTGAAATAAGTTGCAAACCTTCCGGAAAGATTTGTTTGATCCTTTTAAAAACTCCTTTCTTAAAATAATCGTTTTTCCGGTCTTCCTCTAGTTCTAATAGAGCGTTGTTGGAGCTAAACTCGCTCCACAAGTTGTTCAACGTATCAAGTCTGGTTTTCAGGTACTCAGATGTTTTTCTGGCAGCCGAATCCTTTTTAAAGTTTGTTATTATCCGTTCGATGTTAGTAGCGATTTCCATTTCTCTTTTCAATAATTAATCCATATTGAACTTGATGTTGTTTTATTTATTTTAAAGATGTTACGATAGTTCAATAGCTCGCTTGGTCAGTGTATAGTTTCTGTGAACTGTACCTTTACTGTCTTTGAAGAATGCCGTCTCAATCTAACAGGTGAGACCCGCTGGTGGGAGGCCCGTTAGACCGATCGCATAAAACACAGCAAAAGCAATAATAAACAAAAGCACAAAACACTATCACACTAAGTATGTCGAAGGATATACAATATTGTTATGAATGTTATTAAAAGTTTATTAGTAAGGTGTAAAGAATGACACGGGTGTTGCGTTCAATTGTTTAATTGTCACTAACTCAAATGTCGGAGCTCGCTCCTACAAAGAGTGTACTTTAAAAATACTACCGGCCACTCGCGGCTTCACCCGCGTAGTGCCCGTGCGCGTGCGAAAATTGGGAAAAATAATAGGCTATGAGATAAATAATATACTGATGTATAACCTATAATAATAATAATAAGCTTTATTTTTTCATACAAAACATTCACATTGTTACAGAAAAATAACATAATTACAATACAATTTTTACAAATAATTTCAATGTAATAATATATATATGTCGGCGAGAAGGCGCTTCGATTGTGCGAAACGCCATCTGATACCTGCAGCTGTCATCTGTCAAGATCTATGGTGCGTTGCGAAACGTCAAGTTATGACATTGACGGCTGTTATTGCTTGGGAGTGGTCTATGTTTGTTCGAAGATGGCACTTTACGTTGTACGGCCATATTGAGCGGACGCAAGCGCAGAACTCTCCGCGTTTCGTATCGCAATCCGTTTGCATCACGTTATTATTAATGTATTTCGAATAGATTACTAAATAATTCAATTAAGTAACTGATTTGTGATCTATCTGCGATCTTATTTCGAAACAATATCTCGAACACTATTCAGATGACGGATGATGACCAACCTAACTTTCCGCCGGTCCCGCATGACTTTCCGACATAAATATAATTTCTAATTTAATATGTATTATATATGTCGCATCATCTTTACGAAGATCGTTTGATTTAGTTTCTTTTATTTTAATTGCTAGTTACTTAATTACTCGATTGTAGAGAGAGCGTGATCATCGATACTTTTAATTTTATTAGAATGGTGACACTGACTTTGACAGTTCGTTAACAAAAAGCAAATTGCCGTCATTTTTCGCACACATTCTGTTTCCGATCGCCGAAGAGTAAAGACATCCGACGACATCACGCTCATCTCGTTATATTTTCGTATGAAAAGTGATAAAATGGAACAAATCCACGTTGGTATACACGCCTGCAGTGTTATTTTAAATATAGTCCTCCGATATGGACCATCTATTTGGGCTTCGTAAAAGCCCCTTCTGACTACCCGCCGACATATATGATAGGTATATAATAGTCTAATTCAATAAATTCATTGATTGTTTTGTATGAACCCCCTTCGGGTAAAAGCCTTGGAGAAGGCTTTTATTTCCATTTATTTTTATCTTTAGCTGTAGTTAGCCAGTTTTGGCCTGTTGTTGCTAGTAGCTCGTCTGCCCACCTTGCACTTGGCCAGTTTCTGCTTCTCTTGCCTTGTGGTCCGCGCCATTTAACAGATCTAATAGTCCATCTGCTGTCGTTATATCTGGCAACATGACCTGCCCACCTCCATTTTCTTTGAAGTGAAAAAGTTAAGGCATCAGTTATTTTAGTCCTCTTTCCTATTTTCGTGTTCCTGATCCTATCTTTTAATTTGATTCCTAGTAAACTACGTTCCATTTTTCTCTGCATATTTTGAATTTTGTTACTGGTTTTATGGTCAAAGATCCAGGTTTGGCATCCGTAAGTTAGGCATGGTAGTATTTCTGTGTCCATAACTATTTTCTTAATGTGCATTGGGAGCTGAGATTTGAATATGTCTTTGTGTGCCCAGTACTTACTCCATGAGATTGCTATTCTTCGGTTAACTTCCTCTATATTTCTATCTTTGTTGGATGAGATTAGCTTACCAAGGTAGACATAGTATTCAACATACTCGAGAGTATTGTTGTTTATTGTGATGAGTGTCTTATAATGATTAGTCAATACTTTAGTTTTATCGAAGTTCATTTCTAGACCATTTTCTATACTTACTTTGTGTAGGTCGTTTACCATATCATTAAGTTGTTGAGGGGTTTCTGAAAATAATATTATATCGTCGGCGAACCTGGTGACTTAGATAGTTTCCATTGATGTAGAGACCTCGCTTAGACCATAGTAAGTTTGCCATTATGTATTGGAGGACAGCTATGAATAGTTTTGGAGATAGCGGGTCACCCTGTTTCACGCCTCTCCTTATATTTATTTTTGTACCTATGCTATCTAACTTGACTCTACTTGTGCTAATAGTATAGATGTTTTTAAGGATATTTATAAATTCTGTTCTTATATTAATTGCTTCCAGTGCTTCCCAAATGCTGTCGTGTGATATAGAGTCAAATGCTTTTTTGTAGTCGATGAAAGCTACATATCTACGGAACTCTATATATTTCTCGATCACCTGATCGACTACTTGGATGTGGTCGACCGTGCTAAATCCGCCTCTAAATCCAGCCTGTTTAATTGGTTGGAACTCGTCTATGTCTCGAGATATTCTTTCAAGTAGACAAGAGGCAAATAGTTTGTAGAGACAAGGCATGAGACTTATAGGGCGATAGTTGCTTATATATGGTGGGTTGCCTTTTTTATATAATAAGATAATTATTGATTCCGCCCATGATTGTGGCACAGTTTCCTCTTCGAATATTTTGTTCCATAGTATCGTGAGAGGTGTCAACAGTAGGTGTTTAGCGAGTTTAATGCATTCATTTGTGATTCCGTCTTGACCAGGGCTTTTTTCTATTTGTTTCAGCATTTCAGGGCCTGTGAACTTTTCGATTGGTGCGATATCTCTACATTTATTGACGTTGCTCTCACGACACCATGAGTCCGGTTGTCTGTAAAGGTTTGCATAAAAAGACATGACTATGTTTATGATCTCCGTTCGGGATCTACATTTAGTAGAGCCCGAGTGAAGAGATAAATCCATATTTTTGATCTATGCAGTTCTTTATACCCTTTTTTAGATGATTTAGATTTTATAATGTGATTCTGTAAAACGTTTAGTTTGTAGGTAGCATAGCATCTCTTTATTTGTAGTTTTATAGAGGTTTTTCAGGTTTTCTTTATCATCCTTTCTTAGATTTCTTTTCTAAAGTGTTTCTTTCTTTCATGAGCTGTAACGCTCGATCTGATAAGATTTTACATTTTTGTTTTCCTTTGATATTTTTGAAATTTTTTAGGCTCTCATTTATAGCGTGTGTTATTTTTTGAGAATATTCATCAATGTTATAGTTTTCATGTATTGTCATAAGTTCAGGAATATAACTATTAAGGTTATTTAGGTACATTGCCTGCTCTTTCAACGTTTTCAGCGTAGTTGGTGTGTTAGAAAAATGTCTTCTGCTCTTTCTAGATAGACCGAAGCACGCAGCATTCTATGGTCTGATCCGAATCTGACTGATGACAATACTTCATATTTGGAAAACACCTATATTACTGTAAAATGTCATCCAAATCCGTCGAGTACTTTTTTCGTAAAAGATTAACAAACATACATCCATACTAACAAACTTTCGCATTTGTAATATTATTATAGTAGGACACATCCAAACATTTTTTATGCTGATGGTACTTTATTACGTTTTTACAACTAATTTGTTTGAAACGAAGTTATAGTATAAATAACTTCGTTTCAATCAAAATATAACTCAGAAAAATGAGTAACGATTGGTTACGTTATGTTCCTAGATAAATAATCTAACTACTAATGATCATTTGAAAGGAAATATAAGGATATTTCACAGTAATATATGACAAAATATGGTCGGCGAAATGATGAAAATAAACACACTTCAAAAGTTACAGCCCTTTTTCAAGCATATTTTTTGCTTTTTTTAACTTTTCTCACTTTACAAATAAACTATAATCATTTCTCAGTAGGTAATTATAAAAATTCTTACCGTTTACGTCTCGAAAACATCACACTAACACTCACAACAGTCACAACAACAACGTCAAATTTCACTTCGACAATTAATGGCAGACAATTTGTTTTTATTACTTTTGGGTTGGCTTGGCGGTCCGAATCCACCTAGAATTGTTCCCAGTGTATTAAATATTAAGTAAAGAAACGAAATGTACAGTCGGACCGTGATTCGGACTAAGCTAAGAACAAAAATCAACGACCAATTACATCAATCCGCATATGCACATAGGGTGTGCATCCGACACTTTAGACCATTTTATTTTACGAACATACATATGTGCGTACGACACTCAAGGGATTAGTGAACGTTCTTACTCAAGAGCGAGGTTAAATGCTTCTTCTGTGCTCCTAGGTTTATTTATTCCGCTAGTGGAAGGCTGAAAAAGCCTTGGTCTATAGCTTTGAGCTTCATTTCTATTGACCTTCAGCTCAGAAAATTTATTTAAAACATTATTATAGTAATTTAATGAACGTTCTTCCTCAAGAGCGAGGTTAAATGCTTTTTCAGTGCTCCTAGGTTTCTCTAATCTTATTTTATTATAATAATTAGGTTCCAAACCTACAAGAAAATTATTCAAAAGAATTTTGTCATATCCGCTTTTCAAAACTTCAATCAAAATAATTTCATTCAAAATAATTTTATTTGATAACAATTCATCCCTGATTTTGTGATGAATCCCTGATCAGGTGACGAGCCCGAGTCTTATCAGCATAGAAGGCGACTGCTCGATTAAAACTGACAATTTCTCCGTGCACGCTCAAAATTTTCAAAGAAATTCAATTACTATACATGATAATATAGGAATTCACTACATAGCTTCAATTAATCACGTTATAAACATAAGCATGGAACATTATAATAGCAGTTACGATGACTCGGAGACGAAACAAATATCAAAGGAGATTGAAACAAAGATCCAGATG